TATATATATATATATATATATATATATATATATATATATATATATATATATGATCTATATATTTTGTATCTGCTAAATGAAGGGACTGTGACTAGTTTTCCCTCAGTATTCAATAACAGGATGCACTTTAAAAAAAATCATAAAAAAAGTTGGTAAAATGACAAGTCATCAAGAAATCCCAACTAAATTGCATTAATTCCAATTCAGCAGATGTCTTTTTATTACCATTAAATATGTTGACATTTAAATTATGTATTTTATACTAGTTCAGTGCTTCTGCTGATCCCTCAAACTATTCATTACCCAGCCTCCTTGCAAACGTCTGCGTAGTGCCATAGTATGCTAACAACAGACAGTTGATATTATATAACTTTTCATCCATCTCTTCTGCTTTCTGTACTCTCGTTTGGTTTATAATTGAGTTTTTGTTGGCGTGTAGAAGCACGGTAACGCCTTAATATCAGGTTTTCTGTGGTGCTTGCGGTATGAGGAACTGTTCCAAATGTTTTCAGCACTAGATCATTTTGGCATCCTGATTTACTGGTGTCTAGGCACGCCCCTGAATCAAGTTCATTTTCACCTAGAAGCAGTATAATTTTAAAGTATACTTTAAAATGATCTTGTAAATACTGACATAGACTGGCTCACAATGAAATAAAAAAGTGTATTTAGCATATTTTGTTTAGGTTATTTTATTGCTTGAGCTGGAGTGAAAGACATGGAAAATGTGCAGCAAAGCTTTGAGTTTAATGATTACCATTGATTGAATTAGATCTTAAAAATGACACATTTTAAATCTCAGATTCTTATTTTCTTTTTCTTTTCAGCTTTTTTATTGTCATTACACTGTAAAAGTACAGAGCAATGAAATAAACTCTGCATTTAACCCAGTGGGCTGCCATTGTGTGGCGCCTGGGAAGCAGTGTGGGGTTAAGGATCTTTCTCAGGGAGCCATAGAGTCAGTCCGTGGGAGTGGGGTTTGAAATTAGAACCTTTGGATTCCAAATGCAATGCGTTAACCACTATGCCACACTCCACATATTCTGCCTGACAAACATTGCTCTTAAACTGTTTAATCTATTGTTAATGTTCTTTATTTCCCTTAGTCAAAGCAATTCACCCACATAATTTGACCTAAAAAGATTCTAACTAACCCTAACCCTCTACCATTTAATGGTTATGATAATATACCTAAAGAAAATGTATGACTTTTTTCCATTTGATGATGTGGAAACTGCAATATTGTGGCTTTCATTCTTTGGTTCATACACATTAGGTGTAGAGCAGCCGTGGTGAGGCTGTAAATGTTAAAATGTTCTTTTAGTCTATCCCAAAAAGGTAAATAAAATAAACGGAAAAAGCTCAGGTCTCATTTAAAGCATGCT